AATTTGTTTCAGATGTTCAAACTGACTAAAATGTATATGGAATTTGAAAAAATGCCACTATTTCTTATTGTTGTTTGTTAGTTCAGCCCACAAGTTATGTGAAATCCCATCTATCCTCCTTTAACTTCAGCCATCTCACCTTTTCCTCCGCCATCCCCACTACTCCTTTTCTCGACCCACTTTTCCGAAAAAAGTGACTTTATTAAAGCTTATGGTGTAATTGATTTCGAAGTAATAATAATAATAATAATAAATAACAAATAATAACAATAAATAATAATAATAATAGCAATAATATGAATATGAATAATACGAATAATAATAGTTAAAATAAAGTGAATGATTACCACTTACAAGAGGAAAAAGAAGTGTATTAACAATGAAATAAGTAAGAATGGGGAAAGCATGTGTATATTTTAATAGTTACATTATCTTGATTTTCTATTAAATGTTTTCCTTTTCTTTAATTTTTTCTTCCTACACATACTTTCCATTTCACGCTTAAAAAATTAATAAAAATGGAAAATGGCAAATGAATTTTTTTTTTTTTTGGAAGCAAAATATTGGAGGGTAACAAGTAAGAATTATTTTCCCTAGTGAATCATTTGTAAAATGTTCAATTTTGAAGATCAATCGAAATTTTTCTTGACAACGATGAACAAAGCGGGACATCCAAAGAATCAATTGCAGTGGGCTTTCCCTTCCTTCTTAGCGGTAGCTCTCCCGAATTCGCTGTTTACATAAGGACAACGCAACAGCAGCATCAAAAGCGCGAACGAACGGCTGCAACTGCCACTTCAGATGGCGGAGTTAATGCCCTTTATTGTGGAATCTGTCGTCTCCACGCCATATCTCCTTATTGTCAACACAGAGGAGCAGTAACGGTGTCGTCTGTCACTGACTATCTTTCTTCTTCCCTTTCAGATACGACAAGAGCAACGTTTTTTGACACCAAAGCAATTAAACCTGAAAAAAAAAAAACTGAGGGTTTACATAACTATTGTTATTCTGAATAGTATCTACATAAACGTCATTACTGGGGTGGCTGATGACAGTAATTTACATTGCAATCACGAGGCAAGTTTAGAGAAATTCCGAATCTGTAGTTGGCTGCAGGCTTCTATCGGTTTTGGCTCATTGTGCGTAAAAATGGCATTAATTTTTGCTAATTTGTCAAGAATACGACACGGATCAAATGCAATTACCTGGTTGTAAAAACAGAATCGAATTTTTACCCGCAACTTCACATTCAGTAGTTTTCTATCCTCGTCAAATTAAATGAGCAAACTTCATTATTATCATTATTATTGTTACTATTATTTTTTTGATCTTAGGATGGCAGGAAAATCTACAGATGATTTGAACGACTGTGCTAGTATCTTGAAATATCACGGACAGTTTTTTTTGTTCATGACATACTACAGTTGCATCAATGAACAAATGTTTGAAGTTTCTCAGTGGTGCGAGTGACACGATGGCTGACCAAACGAGTGGTATAGTATGAACAGCCGGAAATGACGTCAAATAAGGTGGTCGACATCTTTTTACAGCTTTGAAAATAGTTGAAAATCTTTCGAGCCGCAACTGCAGCAGTTCTCTCAGCGTAGAAACAGATGGGTACCAAATTTTTTAAGCTATAAATCCCCTCTTATTGATGTTTCGGAAATTGTTTTGGTGCTAATTTTTTGAAACAACCATCTGTAAGGGGTCTTAGGGATTGTAGAGGATTAAGTTTTGTGATTAGTTTGAGATTTTGCTCAAAAGTCACAAAACAAGCATCATCATAGACGCACCTGACGTTCCATTAGCTTCTATTCAGACTTTCCATCATATTTAGGTTGTAGCTGAACTCGGAACCAAAAAATAGTCATTAGATAATCGTACTGGGTGTGAACGATCCCCCTAGTTAATTGAATAGGTAAAACAATTCTTTTGTGTACAAGAGAACTTTTTTTTTTTTTTTTT